TTTCAAAGCGCAACATAAAAATTAAATTAATACGAAATTCAGCGATTTTGGAATTTTCACTCGAAACTATGAAAATTTGGAGGAAAATCTGCAGTATTTTTGTTTATAATTGGCTTCAACTGTTCAATGATCTTTGTAAAAATTTCGTTTATATTTGTTGACAAAATCATCGTTGCTGGATGAAAATAACGGGTCAAAGCTTTTATTCTGCTTCAAGACTCTCGTCCAAAGACTAACATGGGCGGTGAACGTTGATTCCAACGTTTGGTTCTTAATTCGATGGTTCAAGATAGAACGGACAGATTACACAAAACTTTCCATGGCCAGGGTATATATATATATATATTTATATATATATATTCAAAATTATAACTGTGGCTCAAATTGGTGGGCAATACTAGGTGGTTTAACATTTGATTTATAGCAAAGTGGTGGTAGTGGGGAGGTGGCGATAGCTATTAAATGAAAGATACTTGATATATGTATACATATGTGTATATGTATATACTATTCTAAATGCTATGCAAGTTTAGTGACTCTAGCTCTAAAACCATAAGGGATTTGCTCAAAAAACAGGATTTCGACATCGATTTTTATCGATTACTTGGAAACGGGGATCCTAGGAGGATTAACATTCCAAATTTCAAGTCTCTAGCTCTAATAAATTCTGAGATTCTTGCGCTCATAAATACATACAAAAGGATGGACAGACGGCTACATTGACCTGGGTATTAAGATTATATATACTTTATGAAGTCGGAGATGCTTCCTTCTGCCTGTTATTTGCATAAACACATTTATACCCTTATGACCCATTTTTAATGGGTTCAGGGTATAAAATGGAAAGGTCGCCAAAACCAGCTTTATATTAGAAAAACGTGTTTAGATTTATCGATAATTGTGGATGTTAACGCCAAATGCAGTGCAGTGGAAAATCACTTTTGTCTCAGAACGACCCATTCACAGAGCCGTACATGGCTACAACTTGTCAGATTGTGGATGTGACGGTAGACAATACCGTTCGTATCATACATTTATCGCATATTACATTTACATATATAACAATCTGCAACTAATTTTATTTGGTTGAAACATAAACACCTACTTCTTAGGTGATCCAAAATATCCCTATTGCCTATTACATATGCGTGTTAAGATTATATTAAATCACGCAGTGCCAAAACAAGATGAATAAGTGTTTGGTTATTCATGTGTACGTATTTATGTATGTACATATGTATACAGATCATCAATAAAACCCTTCAAACATTTATACATGCATATATGTATATATATTCAATATAATTAATTAATTATATATATGTATAAATTACAGTACATATATATACTAAAATACATTAATATTAGTCACAAAACGTATGTATATCACATTAAATGTCCATTATTCATCAGACAACCTATTAAATATACCAGAGCTACTGATGAATACATTATGTACATGTGCTCGTAGTACATGAGCACTGGTGGTTCAGGTAAATAATGTTCACCACCAACAATAACAAATATACGTTGGTGGTGTACTTATTAATATATAAGTATTAATAAAAAGGATGCTACAGCCAAGACAAGACCTGGTCTATATATAGATATAGATTTCTACAATATAATTGAATATACATAAGTATTTATATATATTTTCTCACATGCAGTGTTTAAGCATGCACATATGTAGAAATACTTGCAAATGGCGCTAATATCACTGATGTTCTTCCGTATGTATACACACACATTATTTCGTAAATGCATTTAGGCATGTGAAACGTACCTGCCAATTGTTTCTTCAATAGCAATGATGATTGAAGTTCAGACATTTTTTAGTTTGTCTGAATTATTTAATTAAAATAATGCACTCTTAGGTTACACAACTAACTTATACGCGGCTAACTTTTAAGAAAAATTTAATAATACACTTTTACTCATTCTTCACAAGGCAAGCAAAGTATTTAACTAGAGCAAAATGAAATGTATTTAGAACCCCACAAGATGTTATATGAACTAGTTCAGGAAACGGTGGAAATGAAATATGTTTTCAATTATAAGTTTCCACGCACTACATTCTGGAAATCAATGCCTGTTTAAAGTGTACATGTTGGATAGTACAACAATATTTTGGATAAATTTACTGCTTTATGGGAGCTCTGAACATGTGGGAACAGGAAAGCTTAGTATTATGTTGTACTTTTTGAATCACTTTGAATATTTGTTTAAAGATTTATAAATTTTGACCGCAACCTGACCATTTTCAATTAGATATTCAACTACATTAGATCAATATTTATATTATATATATCTATATATATATATCTTAGCAGGTATTGCCCGGCATTGGTCGTGCAACGTTTTATGTTACAACATTTTTAGATATTACCACTAACCAAACAATATATAGACTGGACAATCAGTGGACGGCGATGGAGCCTCTACGTTTTTGTGCGGCTGGTCCACAGTCGCCTTCGTTTTTGTTTGGGTTCGAGACACGCTCGCGCGTTCAGACAGCACGAGAGTAAGAAATATACATGACTTGTGCGATAGAACGGCATCGCTGCTTTTTCTTATTCCCTCGCACTATTTCCACAAATTCAATTTTTCTCAAAAGTCGGTGGCTTTCTTACCTTTTGAAGCTATGAGTAATAGGAAATAATGAAAGGGTTTGCCACGTCGTTGCGAAATTCTTGCATATTAGCTCGTTATCGTTGGTAAGGGTACCTAAGGGTGGCCATGTATGCACGCATGGTTGCCTGCCTGCCTGTCCCTTGCAAATTTGACAATAATTTCAAGATTGAAGGTTTTTTTTATTTCTGAATTTCAGACTCTAAAAAAACACACACACAAATGCGTGTGAATGGGCAGATCATGGGCGCAAATGAAAATTCATTGTTGGCACGCCTCTGAAGCGCACCATTTTTTGTTATGATTTCGGGTTTGAATTGATGAATGATGATGATGAGCAAAATCGAAAGTGACAAGCAACAGAATCAACGACAACAGCCGGGAAACAATTTTAAATTTAACAACAACAACAGAAGCAACTTAACAGATGACACGAACGAGTAAACCAAAGACAGCCTGCGCGATGACCAGCACCGGCACCGCCTGAGCCAATAGGCAAACGTTGGACTGGAAGAAGCTGCTCCCGTTGAGCAAAGGGATGCGTCAGCCTGCAAGAGGCCTTAGAGGTGTACCCCAACGATGGACGGAGAGGCGACTAGTCAAGGAAATGATTCAGTTAGCCAAAGATGAATCAGACCGACAACGCTACACAGAGCGTCTTCAACACCTAGATCAGCAGCTTCGCGTTGGTGCGAAACAACGCAAACGGGCTGCATAACTGCGAATGTCCCAATTTGCTTTAACATTAAGTTCTAATTTCAAGCCTATGTGGGAAACCGATTAGCTTTCGACTAACAAATGTGGTTGGAGAAATGAAATGAGAAATGAATTATAAACCGAAATTTGAGCCAACCACATTCTATAACAACTAATATTTTCATGTCTCTGGCTCTGGGTATCTATATACTCAGCTGCAATAAAGCCAATGATAAAATAAAGAAAAATAAAATATCTTTTCATAAAAATTATCGCCTAAAATTCTATTTATGATTTTCAAAGAAGAAATCATATTTCTTTCTTTACGTAATCCCACAATTAAAAATTAAGAAAAATACAAATTTTCAATAGAAAACCTTACTCTTTCTTTCATGAAGGAAAAAAAAATTTTTTTTTCTCATTGAATATATATATAAAAACAATTAAAGTACATCTTGGGATGGTTGAGTGATTCTATTAAGGCAAAAGACAATACTGCCAACGTTGTAAACAACGTCAAGATAATTGATCACACATACGATATAAAATTGTTGGGAATACTGTTAATAATTATCAAGATAGTGTCAGTTTTACAATTTCTGCTTACAATCTATGTTAAGCATAATAAAATTATTAAGAAAAGATACATTAGTAGGGCAAATAATTTAGATAAGATTTTAAAATGAATAAGGAAACAATGTCTGTAGCCCACTTATACACTGTTATAAAGAAGAAATGGCAATGATACGTTCAACATTACCATATTTCAGGGTAAAATTAACAGAAAAAGAAGACCCATATTTAGGTGTAGCAACTACATGGTTAGTACGCTTACAAAAGTAAGAAAAGTCCAGTAAAAGAATGGAATTGAACGAAATTGCGAAACATATCGACGCATTTCGTTACAAATTTGATAAATCGTACAAATGCATCAATAAAGATGCAGTTATAAAAGCGGAAACACTAAAAAACCATATAGAAATATTAATAAGGGAATACAATAATATAGTTACCTTAGTAAATAGATATGAAAATAAATTCACATCTGAGCACAATAGTGAATGTTTAAGGGTAATAAATCCCTAAACACAAGATTGATTGCTGTCACCAATAGGCGACATATTCAGATAAACGTGCCAGAAAGTCTAAATCAATTGGCGTAGTTTGATCCCGACCAATTAAAAGAATTAAACGAATCAATTCAACCATGAGACGCTGAATCTGATACTGACATTGAAACACTAGAAGAAAGCGATCCAATCGAAACCAAACAATGGCACAAACAGTTGTAGAATTTATCAAGCTAGCCACATCTCTGGTACCAGTTTTCTAGATTCTTTAAATCTATTAGAAACTTTCAAAGGCACACATGAGCTAACAGCCATAAGCCTTATAAAAACAAAGCTAAAAGGCCATGCGAGAAATTTAATAAGTAATGAGCAGACAATTGCTGCAATCATCACGCAACTGTCAATTGCAGTAAAAGGAGAATCGGTAGAAGTTGTATCTGCTTAGCTTCTAAATCTGCAACAGAAAAATAAAACGGCTAACCAATACACCCAAGAGGTGGAAAAACTGGCAAAGGCCCTTGAAGGCGCCTATATCAGTGAAGATCTAAGCCAATCACTTGCAAACAAATACAGCACTACAACAGCTGTAAAAGATATGACCCAAAATTGTTCAATTGATAAGTTAAAACTTATCATGCAGGCAGGCACATTCACAAATATGAATAATGCCGATTCCAAATTTATTAATAGTTGCACGGAGATAACAGGTCAAAGTAACACTGTCCTGTATTATCGACGAGGTGTAAACAACAATAATAGAGGAGGCCGAGGTTATAATCGTGGCAGAAATTACAACCACAACAATTACAACCGAGGCGGTAACAACAACAACAACAACAATAATTACAATAACCGTGGAGGAAGACGAGGCCAAAATCGAGGAAGAGGCCGAGGTAATTCCAACCAAGGTAATATTAATAACAATGTGAGAGTGGCGCAAAATGCGTCGGAAAACTCTCAGGACCCTTTAGGAAACAACCAGTAAATGCAAAGGTTCATTCCATCAATTACAGTCTTTAATATATTTGTCACATTTTATAATAAAATAAACTCACATTCCTAATATATAGTGATGCAGATATGTCACTTTTAAAAATAAACCTAGGTAATTTAAAAATTCAAGAAGAAAAAATTATTAACATCCAAGGCATAGGCCAAGGTGTAATAAAATCTCGAGGAACAACTTCAATAGAACTACAATCAACAAAATATATTATTCCACACGAAATTCATTTAGTGGATTCCGATTTTTCAATACCGTGTGATGGAATAATAGGCATTGATTTTATTAAAAATTAAATTGTCAATTAGATTTCAAAACAAGTGAAGACTGGTAATATATAGTGCAGGCAACAATACAGTTCTTATGCCAGCCAGATCCCAAGTAATTCGAAAAATATACATTAATACTGTAAATGATTATATATTTGTTTCTAATCAAGAAATACATAATGGAATTTATGTTGCAAATACAATAGCAACATCCAAACATGTATGCATTCTCGTTCTAGACACAACTAATTTCGACCAATTGGTCAAAGTAAACAAAATCATATATGAAAATTTAACAGATTATGTCATTCAAAACACTAATCTAGAAAATAGAAGCGAACAAGTACTTTCAAAATTAAAGAAAAATTTTCCAGAACAATTCAAAAGTCTACTAACAGAACAATGCGCCAAGTATAGTGATGTGTTCGGACTGGAAACCGAACCAATAGCGACAATTAATATTTATAAACAAACATTAAGACTTAAAGATGATGAACCCATTTATATTAAAAACTACAGAAGCCACGTCGAAGAAATTTAAAAATAAGTAGGGAAAATCATAAATGAAAAAATCGTAGAACCATCACTCCCCAGAATGGATGATATTCTAGACCAACTGGGCAGAGCTAAATACTTTTCATGCCTTGACTTAATGTCAGGTTTCCACCAGTTCTCGGGCTTAGAACCCTCTCAGGCATTCCTTTATATGGATGACTTAATGGTGACAGGATGTTCCGAAAAACACATGATTAAAAACATAACTGATGTTTTTAATGTATGCAGGACATATAACCTAAAGTTGCTTCCAAAAAAATGTTCATTTTTCATGCATGAAGTGACATTCTTAAGTGACAAATGCACTGACAAAAGAGTATTGCCTGATGACAAAAAATTTGACGTCATCAAAAACTATCCTGTCCCTCATGATGCGGACAGCGCGAGACAATTTGTAGCATTCTGCAATTATTATTGTCGATTTATAAAAAGCTTCGCCGATTATTCACGGCACATAAATAGATTATGTAAAAAGAATGTTCCTTTTGAATGGTCAAGTGAATGCCAAAACGCATTCCAATACCTTAGAGAAAAACTTATGCACCCCACATTATTACAATATCCCGATTTTCGCAACGAATTTTGCATTATAATAGATGCTAGTAAACAAGCTTGCGGAGCGGTTCTAACTCAGAACCGTAACGGAATTCAGATCCCAATAGCTTATGCATCTCGTTCATTTTAAAAAGGGGAAAGCAATAAGAGCACAACAGAACAAGAGTTAGCGGCAATTCATTGGGCAATTACCCATTTTAGACCATATATTTATGGCAAACACTTTACTATTAAAACGGATTACAGACCATTGACATATCATTTTTCTATGACTTATCCCAGTTCGAAATTAACTCGCATGCGGCTAGAGCTCGAAGAATACGACTTCACAGTAGAATACCTAAAGGGGAAAGATAATTTCGTAGCAGACGCACTTTCGCGTATTAATATAAAAGAACTCAAAGATATGCAACATAAAGTCCTGAAAGTCAGTACCAGGCGAAAAAGTAGGCAAAATAAAAACTGTACAGTAGAAAATTATGAACTTCTGCCAAGGCAAAGTCATAAAAACGTATCTAAGCCCAACGTACTTGAAGTCATTAGAAATGATAAAGTACGAAAAGTAGTGACCTTGTGCATAACAGAATCTAAATATTTATTTAAACATGGAAATAATATTATCGCAAGAATTGAGGTTAGCGATTTATATACTAATGGAATCCTCGACTTAGGTCAGTTCTTCCAAAGGCTTGAAACAGAAGCCGGTGTATTAAAAATCAGCCAACTCAAAGTGGCACCGAGCGAAAAGATTTTTGAATCAGTTTCAATAGATTCTTTTAAAAACATGGGCAATAAAATATTAAAATCTTTAAGAGTAGCGCTACTCCAGCCGGTGACCCAAATAAACGATGAAAAACAGATACAACAAATACTGTCTATATACCATGACGACCCAATTCAAGGAGGTCATAGTGGCATAACAAGAACGCTAGCGGAAATAAAAAGACACTACTACTGGAAAAATATGACACGTTACATAAAAGAGTACGTACGTAGATGTCAAAAATGCGAAATGTCTAAAACAAAGACGCACACAAAAACTCATTTGACTCTCACAGAAACACCTGTGAATGCTTTTGATATAGTGATAGTGGATACAGTTGGTCCGCTACCTAAATCGGAAAATGGCAATGAATACATAGTCACATTAATATTTGACCTTACAAAATATTTAGTAGCCATTCCAATAAAACACAAAGGCGCAAATAATGTCGCAAAAGCAAAATTCGAAAATTTGATACTCAAGTTTGGTCCAATAGAGACGTTCATCTTGGACATGGGAACAGAGTATAAAAACCAGATTTTAACTGATTCATGCAAGTATATGAAGATCAAGAATCTCACCTCTACTGCATATCATCATCAAACATTAGGAACAATAGAGCGAAGTCATCGAACATTTAATGAATACATTCGTTCATACATCTCTGCAGATAAGGCCGATTGGGATGTTTGGATACAATATTTCACTTATTGTTTCAATACAACACCCTCGGTAGCACATAATTATTGTCCATACGAACTAGTTTTTGGCAGACTACCAAAACAGTTCATTGATTTTAATAATATAGATAAGATATATCCCCTATATAATCTAGATGATTATGCTAAGGAAGTAAAGTTTAGATTAGAAAACGCGTATAAGAGAGCTCGTATTATGTTAGAAAAACATAAGGTTACAAATAAGAAATACAAAGATAAGAACATTAATAATTTTACAATAGAAATAAGAGACCAAGTTTTGTTAAAAAACGAAACTGGTCATAAACTAGAATCAGTATATACAGGCCCATTTGAGGTAATTAGTATAGAGGATAATAATAACATAATAATAAGAAATGAGAAAAAGAAGAATCAGAAAGTAAATAAAGACAGACTAAAAAAATTCAACCCAACACAACAATAGAGTTTATGAAATCGTTCAAATTAAATTATCCAGTCAACAATAAATAATCCAAAATATAATAAATATATATATACATATATCAGTAATTTTTTTATTTCAAATATATAAATAATTACAAAAAAAATTTTTTTTTAATAATATATATACATTATATAATTTAAATATAATTTTTAATAATTACACAATATAATATTAAATAACTACATAATAATATTTCATTATTTCTCAAAAAAGGGAGGTGTAGCATGTTACATGCAAATAAGCATATGCCCACAATATTGCAGTATATACAATATGTTAAGTGGTCATATGCTCAATCTCAAAGTTAGAGTCTCAAGCGCATTGTTTACAAAATACAACTACCGCCAAGTGCCGTAATATGATCAGCCACTTATATGTGGACTGGCCTGCAGCGTGAGATCTGCAGCGTAAGCACTATGACGGTTTGACCGTTCGGTCCCAAGCGCATTTCAATGTATATGCCTTCTGCATGTACATATAACAACATATATACAAATACATATGGTATGCTATGTACTCCCGTTCCGCCGATGCTTTGCGCGGCAGAACTCCAAACTATATTATGTACTTTAGGCTAAGTCCATTTTAAATAAAGAGACACGATTTATTCTGAATCTGACAAACAAGCGAACCAGACTTTATATTCCTTACAGAATAGCGGACAGTTATGCAATGCCCCTGTAATTTCGTATATCAGACTTCCCACCTTTCTTGTGAAGAGGAATGATATAAGATTCTTTCCAAAGAGATGGAAAGACAGAAGTTTCAAGGGATAGATTAAAAAGCTTTAGCAATGGATAAAGAAGGGCAGAACTACACTTCTTGAGTAGACAACTAGGAATATTGTCCGGCCCAGGAGAGTAAGAAGACTTTAAAGAGTTTATAGCTAATAGGAGAGAGGAGTGTGAAATAATGAGAGGAGGTATAGAACTAGCGGAAGAAATAGTATAAGGGTAAGAATTAGTATTAGGACAGACTGAAGAGTTAGTTGATTGGAAAAAATTAGCAAAGAGGTTAGCAGAATCAGTGTCATTGCTAGCTTTATCCAAGCCAAGAAAAAAGAAGATGGCAAACTTGAAGATTTACGCTTCAAGTTTACAAAATTATAAAACTGTCTCGGATTTTGGGCAAATTGCCCTTTACAACGAGTTAGATAATTCTCATAGCATTGAGAATTAAGAAGAAAGAAGTTCGACTTGGCTATGGAATATTTAGCCAAGTCTGTACACATACGGACGGATGGACGGACGGACGGACGGACGGACAGACAGACGGACATGGCTAGATCGACTCGGCTATTGGTGCTGATCAAGAATATATATACTTTATGGGATCGGAGATGCTTCCTTCTGCCTGTTACATACATTTGGATTTTGCACAAATACAATATACCCTTAAACCCATTTTTAATGGGTTCAGGGTATAAAAAATAGTTCCCTTGGCAGGTTTAGAACTCGCAATTACAATGTTTTTGATAGAATTCGAAGCAGACGCGCATGAATGTGTGTGTGTACATGTATACAGAAATTCCTGGCATTTCCACCGCAAGCACATGCGCAGTCAAAATACCGAAAAACAAAACAAAACCCGATCTTCAAC